TTTAAAAAATCAAAATCATACCAAGTATCTTCTCAGACCACAATGAAATAAAACTGGAAACCAATAACAAGAGGAACTTTGGAAACTGTGCAAATACATGAAAATTAAACAACATACTACTGAATGACCATTGGGTCAAAAAGAAATTAAAGAGGAAATCAAAAAAATTCTTAAAACAAATAAAATGGAAACATAATATATCAAAACCTATAGGGTGCAGTAAAAGCAGTGCTAAGAGGAAAGTTTATAGTAACAAACACCCACATCAAAAAGTAGACAGATTTCAAATAAACAATCTAATAATTCACCTAAAAAAACTAGAATAACAAGAAAAACCACAACCAAAATTAGTAGGAGAAAATAAATAATAAAGATCTGAGCAAAACTAAACAAAACAGAGACAAAAAAATACAAAGGATCAATAAAATGATGAAAATTAGTTTTTTGAAAAGATTAACAAACTTGATAACTTGCTAGAACAACCAAGAAAAAAAGAAAGAATACCCAAATAAAATCAAAAATGAAAAAATAGACAGGTATAAGTGATACCAAAGAAATGCAACAGATTATCAGGGACTATTATGAACAACTATACACTCACAAACTAGAAAACCTAGAGGAAACAGATAAATTCCTTGACTCATACAACCTACCAAGACTGAATCAAGAAGAACTAAAAAACCTGAATAGACCAATGATGAGTAATGAGATTGAATCAGTAATAAAAAGTCTCTCCCAACATAGAAAGTACAAGACTTGGGGCTTCACTGCTGATTTCCCATGTAACTGTCTTCCAACGTGATGTTCAGATAAGAGTCTACATTCCCTCTTGAATCTAGTGGGCTTGTGACCACAGCGAAAGACTAAGTCATAAAAGGCTATACAGTTTCCACCTGGCCTCTTGGTTCCCTCTTGGGACCTGCCACTATGCTGTGACGAAGTCAAGCAGCCACACAGAGAGGCTATGATCCTACCACAGCACCAGGCAAGGTCCCTGCCCAGAGCCAACATCAACTGCCAGCCATAACTTCAAGGAAACAAGGCTTCATATTCTTCCAACCACCCACCTTGGAGTTGTCCCCACCAAATTTCGGACTTGTGAGCAAAAGAAATTTGTCATTGTGTTAAGCTACTCTGTATGGAGATGGTTTGTTACACAAGAATAGACAGCCAAAACAATGCGCAAGGCCCCCAATACTGTACCCATTTCCTGGCACAGAATAGAACTGGCCTAAAAAGAAATGGGACTTGCCTCTCTGCCTTTCATGAATTTTCATTACTTGGGTTGATTCTTTATTAACATTAGACTTTCTCTCCGAGTCCCAGATTAGGCTGTCTATGAGATATAACCCAGCTGAAATTGTGCGTGTGTGTGCACGCACACTATATGATGGTTGAATTGCTGCCAGTATTTAGTAATTAGAAGATTTTTATATAAACACACACACACACACACAGAGAGAGAGAGAGAGAGAGAGAGAGAGAGAGAGAGAGAGAGAGAGAAAGAGTAGAGAGAATCTAAATTTTTGTCTTCTCTCAAAAAAAAGAACAAACAGAAGATCTGGCAATACTGGATTTACATTCCCTTTTAACAGTAATTCGCTCACAAAACCCCCGGTTCCCTCGGTGCCATCTCCTCTCAGTTGCATTACATCCTGCCTGTTCCATTCAAGCTCTCATCACTCTTTTCTTTTTCACATTTTTTAATTTGTATCAATGTATGGGTTACAAGTACAGATTCTTTACACACGGAGATTCCATAGTGGTGAAGTCAGGGCTTTTAGTGTATCCATAACTCAAATAACATACATTGTACCAAATAGTAATTTCTATTCCTCCACACCTTCCCACTCCTTCACGCTTTTGAGTATTGTCTATCATTCCACACTCCACATCCTTGTGTACACATTATTTATCTCCCACTTATAAGCAAGAACATGCATCTAGTTTGTTTCACTTAAGATAATGGCTTCCAGTCACTCTTAGATTTATTTCCTTACATCTATAGACATTTGGGCTTGTGACCTCTATTAAGACAATGATTCTCTACCTGATCGATAAAAATTTACACTTACATAGTTCTCAAGGAGTTAACACCCTTTTGAAAAGAAGAGTTTAATATACTTAGAAAATAAAAGTCAGAATAATTTTTAAAAACTAAAGTTTTAGTTTAAAATTAAATTTAAAAGGATAAAATAAAATATATGCAAAAAAGCCACATGATGAGGTGACTAGGATAGCAACTTACGTTATTATCATACACCCTGGTGTAATTGTCCAACTCTTAGTGGCTGTTGTGCATATATTGATGCCCCAGAAGCCAGTGTTTTTTGTGTCATTTTTCTATATAAATGTTGTTCTCACCAGGAGCAAAATTGCATAAAACATAAAGTCTACAGTAGAATCAAATATGCTACATTTCAGAATCCTATTTATGGCCAGGCACGGTGGCTCACGCCTGTAATCCCAGCACTTTGCGAGGCCGAGGCGGGTGGATCACCTGAGGTCAAGAGCTTGAGACCAGCCTGGCCAACATGGTGAAACCCCGTCTCTACTAAAATACAAAAATTAGCCTGGCGTGGTGGCGGGCGCCTGTAATCCCAGCTACTTGGGTGGCTGAGGCACAAGAATTGTGTGAACCTGGGAGGTGGAGGTTGCAGTGAGCCGAGATCGCACCACTGAACTCCAGACCGGGTGTGCGACAGAGCGAGACTCCGTCTCAAAAAAAAAAAAAACAAAAAAACAAAAGAGAATCCTATTCACTTTTTGGTATAGTTGCTGAAAATACCCTTCTCACACTAGTGTATGAAGAATCTTAAATAGTTTCTAGAGAGGAGATTGAATTTTGAGCATTGGAGAATGGAATCATTCTGCCTGAATAATAAAACTGAAATTGATACATTTATTTCATTTATAGTATTTGGTGTATTTCATCTTATTAAACAGATTTTAAGTAAACTGTCTTTCCATTCAATCGAATAGCATAATTTTAATGCATTTTATATATCCTAAAATGAGTAGAATGTTTAGGGAAATGGAATGGTAAAATATGTCAGCCAAATAAGAAAATGATCATCCTTTACGTGTAAAAATAATTTTATTTCCTTAGTAATAAAAATGGAGGTGAAATCCTATTTATTGCTCATTAAATGTATTGAGAATGCAGCCAGTCATAATTTATCTCATAGTGATGTGTATTCACTAATTACTTTAAGAAAATATCTATGTTTGAAAATCAGTCTAAAGAGTACTTAACTAAGTCCTATGCAATCTTTATGAAGAACCACCAACAGGGTGAAAACACTGAGTTTAACCAAGTTTATCTTTGTGGTGGGCCTATTATGGCACGTAGAATCAGAATTCTACTCGCGGCCTTTCATTTGACATACAGTTGGGTGGGCTTTCTAGAAATGCTACTCTTTGGGGGAAAATAATACGGAGTTAACATTCAAAGTGTGTCCCATTTTATAATATTAGTATAGTAAGAGTTACGCTCCCTTTTGTAGAATATGCAAGGAGAGTTAAGGGGCATACTATACTCCTCACCCTAAACAAACAGTCAAAAAAAATTTTTTAAGAAAACGTTAAATAGGTATTTGTATAAGGTATTGTCTACTTTATATCACAGGAGAGTAAGTCATTCCCCTAGTGAGGCCTGCGTTTGTGGTCAAATACTTGGTTCATAAAGTTAATGTCTGAGATGCTGCAGGAGGAGAATATTTATACATCAGTGACTTCAGCAGAATGCAATCCTCATAAAACTTTATTTTATTGGAGTTGTAAAGTTACTTATTTGGGGGAAGAAACGATAAATTTATGAAAAAATAGACAATAGAGTGGTTTTGAACTTTTTATTTTTGTCACTTTATTTCCTGCCAGAGTTAACAGCTCAGTGCCAGAATCAGGGTTCAAATTTGATGGCATATCTCAGTCGAAAAGGTGTGGAAATCTAACCGAGAACTTGGGGATAAAATCACTAAGAAGTGCACTCTAAATCCACCGAGAGCACTGATTTAAATACTATCACAAAGCCTTAATGCAATGCCAGAACAATTCGGAGATTTCATCTGGATCAAGGGACTTTTAGCAAAGGCCAATATGTTCGGATGAATTCTTACGAGTAAAAAACCGTGTACATTCACCGTCATCCAAACATTGGTCACGATCAAACAAGGATGTCCAGGAAACCTAACCACCTAATCATTCTGGTCATCTCACAATCTCCTTCTTCCTTTTTTTTTTTTTTTTTTTTTTCCTATTTAGTAAGGCACCCATGAACAGGCAAGGTGGTTACTTAGACTCCTTCAAAGCAATCAGCAGCGGTCAAATTGACTTTGTTGGTTATTAAAGTAAGCCAAAGTTTTGTCACTTCATAGGATATTTTGCCTGGGGACCTTCGATTTCGGTCTCTAAATGTGGCTTCCCGAACGCTCTCGGAATAGCAAAGTCCCTAAGCGATTCTTAGGGACCCTTCATTCTTCTGGAGAATGGCGTAGCTGACATAGCTGACATCAGCCCCGCGCCTGGGGGCTCCAAAATAGCCACGATTTGTAAAGTTCTGAGATTTCTACTCCTAGATAGCAAGTCCGCGAAGTGCTAAAGCGCTCTGTCCCCTCCCTCCTCTGAGAGCTGTCTCGTTAGGTTCCCAAAGCCAAAGCCTAGGTCCTTCTCCCTTCCCATCAGGGATGAAGGGGGGTGTGTTGCAGGTGTGTAGGCTGGGGGGCGGGGGGCTCTATTAAGTGGGGCGCTGGGGACAGGAAAGTGTTCAAAGAAGGAAACCTGCCTGGGGTCACCCGGGCTCGGCTTCCCTACCGCGCGCCTTTTGGGGTCCGGGAGCGCAGGCGCTGCCCGCGGAGGTGAGAGTGAGCGTGTCTAGGGGCGCGGGGCTGCGCCGGGTGAGAGGGAGCTGCGGTCCCGGGGACGCCCCGCACCTGCGCCCTCGCTGGGGTCCGGACGGGACCGGGCTCGGCCGGGGGAGCTCCGGGAGGAGACGCGCTTACCTGGAGGTAGGGCCGCCCGTGGGCCACCCCGCCCACGACGATGTCGGCGGACGCCATGGCCCCGGTGGGCGAGAAACCGAAGCCCACGTAGCCTGCAGTGCGCACCTGGAGGCGGAAGGCGATCTGGCTGCCCCTCTGGCTCCAGTCCAGCCAGTACTTGCCCTCCGAGTCCAGGAGGGTCCGGTGCGGGTAGGTCCGGCCCGAGACCCCCGCCGCCACCCGGGGGAGCAACCCCCACAGCAGGAGCAGCGGCCAGCAACACATCCTCGGGCGCCTCCTGCCCGCTGGTACCGGCCTCCAGCCGCTGGGGAGTGAGGAGCAGAACGAGGAGCGGCGGCGGCGAGCGGGAGCCCAGGGACCGCCCCTCGGGCCGGCCGCGCGCCCGCCCGGGAGGGGCAGGACCCGCTCTCCCCGCCCCGGGCGGCTTGCAGGGCGCGCCCCGTCCGGTCCGGTCCCGTCCCGTCCCGTCGGGTCCCCGCCCTGCCAACTCTCACCCTGCCCGGCCGCCCGGCCCTTCCAGCGGATCCACCTGCCTCCCCCAACCCCTGACTTGGTCCCCGAAGTCGGGGTTCGGTGGGAAGGAAAGCTAGGGGCTTACCGGAAAGAAAGGGAGGAGGAGGCAGACGCTGACAGAGGAGAAAAGGGGGCCAGAGGCAGAAGGAAAAGGAGGAGGGCGAGAGAATCCTAGAGCGGGAAGAGCGTGGGCTCTGCGGGACGTGGGCGAGAGGTTCCCGGGGAAAGAATGGACATTGACGACAGAGAGCAAGTTTAACCTGGAGGGGAGGAATGGAGTGAGCAAAGTGGGTAGTCTGGGGTGCGATGGACACAAAGCCCCGTCCAGGGTAACCTTCACGTTTCTGTATCCGTTGCTGTCGACTTTCCAGAGCCTTTGTTCCCAGTGACGTCCCTGCTTCCATGGAGGGACACAGTTCACCTTCCCCCACCCCGCTTCCAGCATTTCTTTCACCCTCCCACCCTGCGGGGCCCCAGAGCTTGCTCCTCACAGCAGGAGTTGGAGCCCTGATGCTTGCCTTCACCTAGATTTTGTTTGGTTTGGTTTGGCGTTGATGGGACAAAGTCAGCCAAACTACTTTGCCATCAGCAGAGAAGGTAAGGGGTGAATCGTCATTTGAGAGTTATATTTTAATTTAACATTCTCTTTTCTTGCTATTCCAAGTTCTGACCATAACCATGTTTATCAAAATATGTTTTGTTTTGGTTTGCCTCTACCTTTGACCACTCCTGTCAATGCTAAATACAATATGGCCACTAAACTTTACCTTGCTTATTTATTCCTTTATTTATAATCTGCCAAGTTTCCAAAAAAGTTCGAAAGTTTGTATCTATAAAAATACAAACAATGCAAAATAGAAAAACAAATAAGAGAGAATATCAGATGAGAAATATGGGTAAGAAGAGCAGGCGCCACACTAGCCACCTCCACTTCTCATTCACTCTCCTCACCTCGTATTTCAGCCTATTTTTCCCCCTACTTATCTTTTCCCAAAACTTTTCCAAAGTTACCGTCTTGCATCTAATCTATATTCTTCTAAAGATACAGGAATATTTAACCATGTCTGGAAGGTGACCTGTAGGTGGATCTGCTTACCAAAGTGCTCAGGGACTTGCCTGGGAAGGGACTTTTCCCAAGGAGTGATTGGATTAAGGTCCGCAGGGCTGGCCAATGGCAATAGGCCAGCATCAGAGAAGAGTGATGTTGGAACCTCAAAATAAAATGAGAAATAAAAGAGCCTGCAAAGCCTTACAAGAACTGGGCATGGAGACTGTGAAATATAAGTAGCTGGTGCCTCACCTCCACCAGGACCCACTGGGCAACTGTCAAGGGCAGTAACAGCCATACAGCAATGTAAGGGTGGCAACCTTAGAATTGGGTTTCTACAAGCACCGCACCAGGGACTTGGCTTCAGCCATGAAGAAAGGAAGGAGGATATGGAGAGAAAGAGGAACAAAACAGGGGGAACGCAGTCCCAGAGGAATGGCTCATGGCACCAAGTGGGACACACTCACTATCCTCTCACTATCCTGGGCAGGGATTTCGGGAAAGTTAAATTACTGCAGAGTGATTAAAGGCAAACTTTCTGTTTTGTGACTCTACTTTTATTCCTAGCTTAGAGGAACCTGGAACAAGCACATTGCTACATCTGCTTCCTAGGGTTCATTATATAAACCCCAAAATCACATCTATTAGGACATTTTGTCTGCTTATTAAAACAAAAAGAGGTCATGCCTTCCAGAATTCTTCCCCCATGAACTGTTTTAGCTTTGCCTTCCATCACTTCCATCTCACTCACCCACTGGCCTCTAAACCACATGAAAACTCCCTCTGGAATCCTCAATGGACAGCCGTGCCATTTTGCATCACTGTGCCTATTAGGATTGCTTGCTCTGCAGGGTTTGTCACTTCTCCCCTCCTTCCTTTGAAGTATGTTCTTGTCCTCCTTCTCACACTTCACTGTAAGATAGCATCCTATCTGTGGATACTATCCACAGTAGTCCCTATGGAATGTTCTGCCAGACCTCTTATGGCACCCCTGACACTTCAGTGTACTTTTTGTCTATAAAACAATGTACTTGTTTTCCTCCAGTAGCCTCTTTAGGTCAGGAACCACATCTGGTTTCTCATTGCCTAGAATGTGGACATCATGCTACAGGTGCTTAATGAATACTTGTAGGAAGAGTGAACAGATTCATGCCCAGATCCTCCTGTAAGCATCCTCGTAACAAAGTTGTTCTGTGGGGGAAAGCTTGGCCCCAGATGTAATTGAGTGTTCTGCTCTGCATTGGTATTGAGGGAAAAAGAGAAAAGACCACACATGAATATACAAAAGAGAAAGTTTTAAATTGTTTTCATTTATTATTTTCATTGAGTGTGAAGTTATTGTCTTTTGTTGTAACTGGCATTACATCCGAAACACCCTGAGCACTCAAGAAACATTAAAACTAATATAACCATTTTGAGATGAAGTCAACAAACAGAACATTAGCATAATTCATACTCAAAACATCCACTCTGCTTTGGCTTGAATCACCCCAGTAATTTGAGACAGAATAGAAAATTTTATCTATGTGTGCTTTGTACACTGCTTGAGTTCTCTGGATTAAAACCAACTCTACACTTCAGTTGCATAGAGGACTCAGTTTTCTGACTCTGGAAATCAATTACTGCATTGCTGCTTGTCTTAAATTTGTAAAGAAGGCAGGAAGAAAGCATAGGTCTGTTAAAAACTTAGGGAATATGGCAAAGAGGAGAATGAAATTAATGGTAAGGGTTTCAAAATTAGTTTTTAAAACTATTGTTTTTGTGAAAACTGAAACTTGCTGGTTATTTAAAGAAAAAAGCCAGGAAATGCCGAAAAGTGTGAATAACAAACTTAAAAATTCACCTGAAATTCCACCATCCAAAAATAACCCTTGTATGCATTCCAGGAACATCATTCCAGAACCCAGTTCTGTTAAAAGATTGGAGGAGCAGTCTGTTGGGCAAGCATTTGCAGAGAAACAGGTGAATTGGTTTTGTAAGACTCTGCTTGAAATAAACAGAGCGACATTAAACATATTAGTTACAAGCACATTTTTTAGGCTTCTTCTCTCCACATATATCCTTTGGATACATGAATAGACAAAAGAAATCAAACAGACAAAACTAGCTATTCAGTGAGGTCTTACTTAACTTCAGAACATTCAACCAAATTAGTCATTCCTAAAATGAATCATTTTCTCACACTTTTCAATCAAGGATTTGAAATGTTATATTTATTTTAACTCCTCACTTTGATACCTAGCTTAATATCTGCCAGTGTGACTGCCCCCATGCTGAGTTTCCTTACCTCCAAACCCTCTGTTGCTAAGGTTTATTTATGTTTCTACATTAGTCAACTGCAAGGGGTTGGGGGAAGGAGTGAGGAAAAAGAGAAAACCCAAGGGACAATTATAAGCCAATGCAGTGTCCCTATATGAGCTAGGATGGTCTAAAATAAGTGTTTCTTCTTGAGAGTATCATAATTTTCCTGTCTACTTGTACCTAAGGTTCAACAATAATACTAAATATTTATAAAGTTCCTGTCTTCTAGGGAGCTCAGAGAAAAATATTTATGTAAGTGATCTCAGCAGTTCTCCAAAATAGGGAAGCTGAAGCATTTTCTCACATTAGTCTATAAACTAAGTCACTTGTGTGGCTAGGTGACTGGTTCAAGTTCATACTGTGAGTCAGTGGCAGAAAAGCCAAAAATAGAACAACGGTGTTTTGAGTTTTTTTTAATTACATACTTTCTCCAGCTCTCACCTCATCTCCAATAAAAAAAAAAAATTAAAGCTATTAGGTAATCATCATGAAACATTCTTTCAGCAGGGATGATATTTTTTACATGAGCAAGATGCTATGATCTACTATTAGCTCAATGTTATATATTCATTTTAATAACAGATGATACTGATGATAGGCATGTGGATGGAGAAGGTGAGGATATAGTGCACTTACTCATATTATCAGGAAATTGTGACTTGCTTAACTGAATTCTTGAGGTTTCTTTGAAATTGAGTGCCAGTTGGCACTGAAAATCGCTCTTAGGTTCTTCCTTATGCAAATCACAGCAAGCAAACCACTTTCTCTGTACAAATCCTACACTTTAGTATTATCTATAAACTATGCTTTCAAATAAAACTTTAACTAAAAATAGTCTGTGAAAAAAAGGAATGTTCTTTTTTTTTTATCACTAGTGATCATCTGTTATAATTTCCCTTTATAGGGAACCATAATGTATATAAAAAATGTGGTAGGGAAGAAATAGATTTACTAAATACTCAGTCTATATTAATGTAAAGCCATGTTTAAAACGTTGTTTAGGGGATGTATGAGAGTAATGGATGCTGAAATTGTACTCATCAGAGTGGTCTGTGGCACAAAACAAATATCAGTGCCCTCACACCTGGGCAAATCTCACTTATAAAAGAGCAAGCCAACCGAAGCTGCCAGTGATTATAGTAACAGAAACTAGGAGTAGTAAAATGTGCTGAATTAGTTATAAGGATGTCAGTCTTGCAAAGATCCTTAGAGACTCTCTAGTCCATACCCTCATCTTGCAAATAAAGAAAGTGAGTCCTAGAGAGGAGTGAATTGTTTAAGGCTACAGTATTTTTAATAGATAAAAGCAGGAAGGTTGGTGGCCTGACATAATTAACAACAATGCCTGGCTCCCCCACATCCCCTTCTTAACAGCTGTTCTTTTGGGTGTCTCAGGTCACCACTGGAATTACTTTTATCAAGCTTTAGCTTCTATATACAT